ATGAGTTGCACTTTTAGGACCAGGAGTTAGCCTAATTGTTAAGCATCTGATGTAGTTAACAGAGCCTTTTTGTGTGCTAGCTTTAGTCTGCTGACAATGTTTCTTCCCTTCTGTCCTTGCCGGGTTAGCTGGCCAGGAGAAAAAGTTAACCATTAGAGTATCTTATTAGACATCAGAGGGTCAACATGGAGTGTCAGGTTGGAAGTACCTCAAGCCTGGAGTAAGCTTTGGCCAGAGTGTAGACATCTGAAAGCTCAGCTGTAGACAATGAACCCCACGGAAATAGAAGTTTCTGTTTTTCTACTCGGAAATGGCCTGGGGTTTTGCCTTTTATACCTTGTTCAGTTAAGGGTTCTTACAGATTACAAGTCATATACCAGAAAGCAGTTTATGCAAAGCACGTGTAAAAATAACAGTGCTATCTGTACTGTGTGCTTGATTCTTCAGTGGTGGTAGGCCGTTGCACCTGGAAGATGGCAGCCTCAGTCATTCTTCTTTTAGGAGACAGATTTTTGCCATTTCAGATACCCACTCCGGGAATAGATACACTGGGAATTAAGGTTGTAGCAGTTTCACTGTTTGCATTGAATTTCCCTTGTTTGCTTGTGATTGTTTCTTCATTTTAAGCTGAATTCACTTTTCGTATTTATGAATGCATTCAGTTGAATATGTTGATCTAAAAATGTTTTTGTTTATTTGTCGAGAAGATGTGAGTATAAGCAGCGATGAATGGTTGCATGCACTGCCTGTAGAACGTGTGACTCTGCATGCAGCCATAATACAAATGCAGAATAAATGAGTCAACACCAGGTTATGTTATAAGATCATTCATTTATCCACCTCTGCATTCCCTTCAGTCCCATGGTCTAGTCCTAGGCATAAGCTGTAGCTTAAAGCTGTTTTCTACACAAATAATGTATCATTGCTAATTGATGCGTGATGTTAATGTCATCATAGGGAGAATAACGGATACAATAGCTAAAGCTACATTACTTGAAAATGTTTCAAAAATTAAATCTAGATGAGAAAATGCTGATGACTGAGGTATTCTCAGGGAAGGAAGTCCTCTTCATCGAACTGTTCTTTGGGAGATATAACTTGTTCTGCATCCAATAAATCAGATGGGGATCTCCTTGTACCATAAAGCATTTTTTGTGATTGTCACATTTTCATATCCGTCAAAAAATCATTGAACCTACACCCTGCATTATGGATTGGGTGAGTCTGGGAATACAGCCCTCCCAGGACTAGTGATAAGATATCCATTTATGTCAGACTTATTTCCAGAATTTTTCTGCGAACTTATACTCCCAAAATATTTATCTAAAAAATTAAAAATTATGAATTATCTGCAAAAGCTACCCTTTCCGTATATTTGCAGTATACCTAATGAATCTTTCAAGGAAAAGCAATTCCACTGTCTACACATGTATCTATTTCCCCTAAACATGCAGAGCAATTAGAACAGAATATGGGCTATCCCAGCCCCAGGTCTGAATTTCATCACTGGAAAGTATTTTGACCAGTACAAGTTCAAAGTCTAATATTTGTGAACACAGATTTGGTATGATATGTTCAATAGCTGTTTTAACATCCTTATATTGTAAGGAGGGAATACGTTCATAGCCGTGTGGTCTCTGTTTTCATATGATAGGAAAATAACCTTTGCTCAGTGGAGCACAGCTCTTTCGTACCAGCTGAGAAACCAACTAACTGGAATTTTACAGGGAAACTTTTAGTCCTAACTACTGTTTATGTAAAAAACTGTAGTGGCTCTGGTAAGAAATCTTGAGTGCTGAATTTGATGACTGTCTCTTGAGATCTTAAGATGTGGAGAAAGGTGATAACAGAGCCTTCGTCTTTTCTTTAAGTAAGTGCAGTGCTTGCCACGCACATGAAAGCATTTGTCAGGTTACGTTAAAGACGTAAAGAGAACTAAAATTGATAAGCCAAACGATTTGGCAAATGTTAGTCTGTAACTTGACAGCAAATAAATCTTTGAGTGCAAAGGGAGGTCTGTGCCTCTTAAACTAGAGTCCAGATTTACAACTTGATGCTGTGCGGCTCTGGGGAACTGGAGGGTGCGTTCTTCATCTTGTGTTTGGGGATAACGTGCCCATCTTTCCGTCTCTCTGTGGAGTACGAGCCAGCCTCCTGCTCCATCTGCTAGGGAGGGGAGAGGGCCAGGCTCACGGTCCCCTCTCCCTTGCTCCTCAGCAGGACGCAGTCTTTGCCCATCCAGCAGACCTATGTTGCAACCTTTGTGGTGTTTTGTGTTCCCCCCCGCCCTTCCCCAGTGTTTGCTTTCACTATGAGGCCTAAAAGATGACCTGTTATAATCTTTTTCCATCAAAGTGGCTTTACTTTCTGGGAAGTTTCTCAAAAAACCAATGTTCGTTGTGACTGAAAATGATTTGCAGTGAAAAACTATATACTCTACATCCTGAGATGACAGAGAAATGAGTTCATCTCCTATCTCCCTTCTTTTTCTTTTCTTTTTTTTTTTCACAGCAAATGTTCTGTCATTTGTGCACAGTCAATGTTCAAATAGCTGAGTGGCTCCTTAGAGGTGTTTTATTTTTGTAGCTACAATATCAGCTGAGTTCATTGTAACTGGGTTGGACTTCTTAACGTTTGACCTTTCCCAGATGAAACCTTTGTTAACACTTGTCAGTTCGGAGGCCTGGCAGTCCAGACGGTGACCTTTATTCTAATGCTAGCTCAGGCAGGATTTATCACTCTGACAGAGCCTAACTAAAATAGAAAAAAAAAAAAAAAAAAAAAGCCAGTGAGTGATGTCAGTGAGAAATGGAGAACCAGAGTAAGAGCTTTTACTGACCACAATACATCTGTAACTAGCTGCAGCTCTTCCCTTGTCTTCACTGGTGGAGAAAATGTTATTCTGCCAGCCATTATTCATTCTCAATGAGCGGGGATAATCTTTCTTAATCCCTTGGAGAGCTTTCTTTGCAATATGTTCATTCTGAACTTTAAATCACTATTTACGTAGGGCCAGATTCTGTCATGCTTTTTCCTGCCAAATAGTAGCTTCCTCTGTTAAAAATGCAATAGTGAGTAAGGGTAAGAATGAAGAGAAGTAGGCTCTATGCTGGATCCTCAACTGATGAATCCAACTATGTGAATTTTCACCTGCAGTTATTTTTCTTCATGAGCAATGTCTTAAACTTTTTATTTTATTGTCAAATCCTTCCACTTACCAAGATGAGCAGCAAGGCCTGTGGTCCATTTTTTTTGAAAAATGGAGAAGGAGAACAGCCTGCAAACTCTGCAGTTTTGTTTGTGTTCTTTTTCACAGGCTCAGCTCCTGCCATTGAAACTAGGAGCTTTATGGCCGTCCCCATGCCACTAGCATCAAAAATTCAGTGAGCCGTTTCAGCTACTATCTCAGTGATCACGTTTCTCGCCAGAAATTCATATAGTCAGTTAAACAAAACACTGCTGTCCTTGCCTTTGATATTTTAATAATCCTCAAACTGCAGCAAAGTCAGTACTATCCAGATAGCCACATTTAGACAGACTTATCCCTTACGGTCAGACTAGTTCTTACATTAGCTTATGCCAGACCATTAACACAAAGAAGAAAATTCTCTGTGCTTTGCCTCTCTGTTTACCTGTTGAGGTCTCTTCCTTAACAGAGTGAAGAAGCCGTAGTGCATTACCCGTTTCTCATTTTCTGAAGTTCTTGGTGAATCTCCAGCCCTCTTGTTTCAGTCCTGCTTACTTTTATTTGTTACCTGTTTGTGAGATTAAGATTTGCTAGTTCTCATCAGTTTCTCAATTCATATCTTCAAAGGTAGGTTTATTAAGTGACAGAGTTTTCAGGTCCAGCTTACTATTTTCAAATTGAGCAAGGCTGACCTTGAATCATTTTCTTTACGTGGCTACGGTTATGGTATTTCTGTTCTCATAAACCATCTCAGAGAGACTGTAAATGATAGTGTTCCCTTGCAAGTTCCTGAAGAACAGCAGTAACGTCAGCTATCCTAGTTCTGCACTGTGTGGGGGCTTTTTGTGCTGAATGTACATCATGTCGGCAGTTATCACAACCATAAAGAGGGCACGAGGAAGCAAGGATCTTTTAATGCTTCCGTTCTTTAGAGAATCACTCTGACAATTAAAAATATTATTTAATCAATTCTACAGTAAAAACCATGGATGCTTCTAGTAAGTGTGGCTTCAAAAAGGAGATGCAATAGAATATCAGCTTCAGTCACTTGAATCTATGCAGACACTGAAATTGAGGATGTCTAAAAAGAAATCCCTGATATGACTCAAAGGGTTAGTTCGTAAAATAAAGGCACTTACATGTAAAAGGATTAGATTATTTTAACTACACGTTTCATTCAGTTTGTCATACAAGATGGATTCTTTAGTTACGGTGTTAGAATTGTACAAACTTTACCTTTCCTATTGTTGTTGCCTTTTCTTTCTCTCTTCTTTTTTTTTTTTTTATATTGGCCACAAGTGCAATTGTGTTCTAAAGCATCCATGGTTACAAGTACTAATATCACATGCTTGATAATATAGTTGCATATATGTAAGCTTCTCTCTTTTGATTTATTCTGATTTTTTTCAATATATTTTCTGGGTTTTTTTTCCACTAACATACCAAAGATGTGCTGGATTACTTACCACTGATATACAGGAGCTACATTGTTGAAGATTTTTTTTCAGTACAGTAAGATAACTCTTCTTCCCTTTGAAGAAGCCTGTTGATTGAAGGAGGGTTATATATTCAGGCAGCTGTGTTCTTGGATTTGACTAATTACATCCTATGCAAAGCACATCTTGTCAAGAGACCTGACCGAGCGTCCATTAAGAGCTCAGAAATTTCTGAGATAATAGTGAATTCTGGGAAAGAGCCAAGAACAAGAGGAACTGAGAGGTTTTAACTTGGTGTTGGGTATTTCAATGCATTTTGAACAAGAAACCCTTTTCCATGTTAATAGTCTAACCCTTTCACATGTTATTGATTTTAGTTGATGAAGGAGTTTCCTCTGCTCAGCATGTTCAACATCCATGAAAACCTGCTAGAGGCTTTGTTGGAACTGCAAGCATATGCAGATGTCCAGGCAGTCTTAGCAAAGTATGATGGTAAGTTCATAAACATTTATATTTTCTCTATATGGTACACACAGAAGCAATGTTTCTAAGTCGAACTCTTAACATTTAGGAAATGCTGTAATTAAGGTGATTGGCACAAGCTTCATAGATGCCCTTACACATCCTTAATCCAAAGATTAAACATTGTGCGTTTTTTCTGCCAACACACGCTTAATTCATTGTACAGGGTAGTGGAACTCGCTTCCTAGCAGCTCTTCAGTGCTTTCTTTGCTTTTGTTGATGTTTAAAGAATGACTGTTAAAGTTCTGCAGACTTTTTATTGCATGCTGTTCAAACCTTGTCTGAAGAAAGGATTATCAGTTCCCTTGTGGACTTTTCTGTGAATGTTGACTTAGTAGCATACAAGTGCTTTACAGACATTAATTGATTTAACTTCACAGCAGTCTAGTGAGTAGTGGACTTCATGTCTTATGGGGAAAACTTGGTAAGCTCGGAAGACTAGGTGAACTTTTTGCATTAATTTTCAGTATTTTTCAGTAAGCATTGGTTTATGCAGCATTACATCACTTTTTATGTTCAAATTACAGCTCCTGCTGACTTCAGCTCTAGTCCTTTGAACTTGGATTCAAGAAATCAGGGTTCAAACAGAGAAAGGACAGAGTGAGAAGCGCCAACTGGCACAGTTTGTTAGTTTAAGTTAAATGGGTTTTCCTTGTATTGCGTAGAAACTTTGTGACAGAAACAGGAATATGATCCAGTCCTCTTGAGCAGCATTCCTCAACCTGCACAATGCCATTCTTCATCCTCCTCCTGCAGTCCCTGGCTTACTCGCTATCCACATCCCAAGTTCTGCAACAAGTGAATCGGGAATCCTCCAGCCATCAGTTTCCTGTTGTGTTACTACACAGTCCTCGTTCATCCTCAGAAAAGTCTCATTCTGTGCACTAAAGTATGGCAAGGGACTTTGTGAAAGGAATATTATGTAAGCATATGACTAAAAATGAGATCATAACACGCATGAATCAAATAGCTGAATTAAGTGAAACCGGTAGCCTTAATTTTGATGTTTCTTAACTCTTTCTCTAGGTTGATCTTGTAACTTCTAAAATGTTGTTAATTACTGGCTCTTACAGCCTTTCTGGTGTTCTTTGAAGAGAGGTTTTAAGGCTTGTAACTTCCAAAGTTTTTGAAAAGATAGAGTGACATCATTTCAGGTACTGTTGTATAAATGGCTACCAACATGGGTTCTGGAGCTGATATCCACAGTGGCCACTCTTTCTCTTCGATTCTTTGAAGGAATTACCATCTTTTCCAGCCTGCCCTTAGCTGATCTTCTGTTCCATTTATCTACTGAATTGTCGTCGTCTTCTCTTTTGCATGGCCAGTTTCAGCTTTCCATTGTTCCCAGTTCCTACCAGTGACTCCTTGTTCAGCCAGTACCGCTCATTCCCAGTTCCATTCTTCTGCCTCTCCTACCTGCCTATCCCAGTCTTCTCTTCAGGGCAGTGATGGTCATGATATGTCTCTTCACGCACTTCCCAGCTCCTGTCTTACCAGACATCTTTTCCATCTAACCTTTTCTGTGTGACTTCTGCGTTCTTTTCATTTGACATCTTCTGCTGCATTGCCTCGGTGCCAAAAAGTAGAACGTTAAGAGCTCGTGCAGTCAGAGGCTTCTCGCTGTCAGCCCCAGTACTTGGCCCCGTATCATCACGTGGAACAGTGGCAAGGGGATGATGCATAAGTTTATTGGAGTACTGAGACGTGTGGACTTGACGAGCAAAGAATCTTTGGAGGTTATAACCAAAAAAATTGCAGAAACTTCCACTGAATATGTACTAACTGCTTTCTTCTAATATCTTCTTAACAACTTAAGAAATTAAAGTAACTTTTAATGAGGCTAGTAATGGACCCTTGACTTGATACTAACATGGTCATCCTGCCAAATTTCAGACCCCTGCAGTAGACTGTGGCAAAGCTGAGGTTATTTAACAAAAGATAAATAAGCAGCTGATTACAGGCAATGTTAGTGATAGTCACAGCTGCAAGTCCAGCCTGGAATATTTTCAACTCTTTCTTCAGTCAGATCATTCTCAGCAGAGATCAAAATGTCACCCAGGGCCTTGAGTACTGCCACCCAATAGCAATAATGACTCTGGGAGAGATCTTGGTTGTGCTTAGTCTGGTTGAGGAAATCTGCAGTTAAAGTGGTAACGTCAGAATCTTTCTTGTAGCTTCTTGTGTTTCAGTAATTCCTGTGACACAGGCATAGATCCCCATGGACTTTACTTTGGCACATTAAGAAGCAAGTAAATAGAAGTGCCCATTTTTAGCCCCCAGGCACCACAGGACACTGACACCTTCTAGTCTTTAAGGTAGTTATGAGATTATAGTCCTGGGAGATAGCGGAACTGTGACAGAACAGGGAATTAAGCCATGACCTCCTAAATCTCAGACTAAAGAGCTGTGCCAGCTCTCCTTTTGGATGCTAAAGCACTGATCCCTAGTTTTAAACAATACCAGAGTGGCACTTTGTGTCACAGAAGTTGGTAAAACTCGAAGATGCGTTTTGTTTTCCCAAAAGCATCTGATAGAGTCAAAACTGAGGTCGTAAATGTAACAAATGAGGCTTTTCAAAATAAAACTCTTACTTTGTCTGTTTGAACCTATGCAGTTTTGACTCATGCTTTGCCATGTATAAACAAAGGTGTGTGTGTATACACCGGGTATGCACAAGGACTCGGCGAACACAGGCTTAACCAGTATAACCCTTACAGTTCATGAGTCTCAGAAGGCCCATCTCAGGGAGTCTCAGCTCATTTTAGAACTCATCAGCTTCATGTGTTGTAAGATTTATTGGAATATAAAACAATGAACTCATTTATACTTTCCTATCTGCAGTTTCTGTTGGTCCCACTCCACTGCCTTTTTTTGCCTAAGACCAAACCTGATTTATTGTATTTTGATAACATATGAACAAGTTATTTCCTTGAGCAGTCTGCCCCCACCCTGGGCTAAAAAGTTGGATCACATTATGTGAAACCTCAGCCTCTGCAAGCAGACACACTGCTTTACCAAAAGCCATGTGTTAAATTGTGTTTATATTATGTACCTGGCAACAGAGCTGATGTCCATACTCATTATTCATGGAAAAAGGGCCTCATTAGTGGGACGGCATGCACTGTTGCTGAGCTACATCATTATGGTTTCAGAATTCAGTGTCTGTCAATAGAGTGGATGACCTAAATACTGTTGAATTCTGAAAAGATTTTTGGCTCTGATTTAACACATATCCATGTTATTTACAGCAGAAAGAGTTATGGCTGCTAAAGAGACTGTTCTTGATGGAGTAAGCTTCTGGTATACATAGTAGATAAAGTTTCTCTGCTCCTCTTTCCTTGCTTTTTAAACAGATTGTTTTCCAGTGGAGTAGGTCTGCTTGTTGTGATGCTTAGAGCAAATGATTTATTAACTTCCCTGGGCAGCCAGTTGCTTTGATTGTTATTATCTGGTAACCTGGGCACTGTGTGAACACTGAGACCTTTCTGGCAATTGAAAGTCAGGTTTCAAAAGAATGGATGCCTATGTATTTAGTCATAGTGATGCAATGGTGCCTCCCTAAACCTGTCCTTGCTTTCCTGTTTTTTAAATGACAGTGTTTTCCAGTGAGACTATAAGCTTTCTGGTTTGCAGGAGGAACACCTTAAACAGATTCCCCTTTCCGTTACTCCCTTGCAAAGAAGAAGGACCATGTCACCATGTAGACAAAGTCTTAAATTCAGAGTTTACTTGAGAAGATGGTTTAAATCAAAGGATATATAGAAAGAAAGTGTTATTTAAATACAAAAAGTCTCATTCTGCTGTAGGCTATGACACTTTTTTGTTTGGTAGTGGTTAACTTTGAAGAATCCTACTTTAAATTAGTGTTAAATCAAAATGCAGACCTTTGAAGAAACACTTTAGAAACAGAGTCTTCTTTGTCTCTGAATACTTTCAACTTAGTGAAATGGAAACAGTTAGAGAAGGTAATTCTCTAAAATGTAGCCTATTCAAGGCTACTCTCCTTTCTCCAGTCCCCCTCTGTCCAATTTCTTCATGTCCTTACAGACTTATGAAATAAGTAAATTCTATTTACATTGAACTTGAAGGCATTCCTTTTGTAGAGAGTTGCAGATTGATGAACCAACTGCATGGAATCTTAAGTTGTATTAGCTATGGTCTCCAGGGGTTTTGTGTAGATGTATATATTTGAGATCGCAGCTCCACTCCATCAGTTTTGTTACTTGCCATGATTATGTTTGGTATTTTTGAGGAGACGTTCTAGCTGGTGGAGCTAACTGGGTAGATGTTCTAAGTGCAAGAAAGGGTTTTCTTCTGAGCTAAATACGTAGCAAGTGGCAGTATGGAAGCAACCATTACCTCCTGCACGCTATTTTATAATCCTTTTCTTTCTTTGAAAGAGACCTTAAGAGAAAGTTCCTTTTAGTTAAGGTCGTACCAAAGCCTAGTCTACCTTCTCCAAGAGATGCAAATCAGGTAAGACCTCCAGTTTGTGTAACAGCAGTATCAAGGGAATAGTTTGTCTTTTTTTTTCCTGTTACATCTTTTTCAGCTTCTGCTTGTAAGAACTAGTTTCTTTCCTCCACGTCAAAATCACTTGTCACTTCGGCTAGGTCTCTGCATCAGTTCAGTGTCTGTTCATACCATCTGGTCTCTTTTTTTGCCGTATCATTCTGTGGGGTTTTTTGTTTCTCGTGCTTGTGCAAAAGCACAAAAAGTCTAAACTAATTATACTAATCCTAATTATACTAACTGGGCTCTTTCTAATCTCCTGTAGGAGAAACGATTCCTTCCCCTCTATATGCATTTAGGATTGAACTTGGTCAAATCAAAGGGGCTGACACCTGCCTGATCACTGAGATATGTATCTCAGCAAGAGTGACTAGCAGTGACCCTCAAAATCTTTCCATAACTGTACAGTTTAAGTTTTAGTTGCGGTCATGGCAAAATAAACACCTTTGTTTGTGCTA